AATACAATGTTTTCAGAGCGTGTACATCATCGAATTGCGCAGCGTTCCGACGCAGGAATCCAAGCAAGGAATTGACCTTTGGAATTGACATAGATATGTGCTCGTTGAATCTAAGTTTGCTATCCAAGATAAGACCAAGATCTTCAATAGAATCAACTCGTTCAAGCGGCAATTGATTCATCGAATAATGAAATCTGATCGGCGAGTGACTACGGGTGAAGGAAATGACTTTGCATTTTGTAGTAGATAGAGTTGAGTTAAAAATAAAATAAAATAAATGATTTAAAATAAAGACAAAACAAATAAACTAACCCTTCATTATTGAGAAAAAAAAAAATAGTAAATAAATGATACCCAGAGATAGACAAGTTTGCAAAAAGTCATTATGACTCGCGAACATTTCTCATGGATAACTAGATGTAATAGAAAAACGGTTACTAGTCAACCAATGAGGATCGCCTATAACGCGGGGGAACGAAAAACCGCGGGCACACGTATCATATAAAAGCGCGACCCGTGTCGCGCATTAGGCATTCATACAACTGATGTGAATAGAGTAGCATCCAATAGCAGCAATAACCGCGAGCAGTGCCGCGCATCAAATCAGCGAGAGGACGCCTTCCAGCAGCAGCAATAACCGCGAGTAGATTGGCAAAAAAAAAAAAGAAAAAAAAATATTTATAAGATAATTAAAATAATACTGATCATAATAAAATGTAATGGAAACAAAATTGACTGATTCATATTAAATATATTACAGCAACCGCAGAAACCACAAGTCGCTCAAACAAACTTCCAGAGTATCAATAGTGTACATCCTCTGGTTCAACCATTGAGAAATCATATAATTCCGGACGAGAACAATGCTTTTATTGAAGGAAAAGTTGCTGGAGTGAAAGTCAAATTTTTTATAGATTCCGGTGCCCAAGTTAACACCATAACAAAAATATCCTTTGACAAAATGTTGGCTGACAAAGATGCTTCATCTAAACTTTTTACTTTGCGATCCTCCACTGATAAACCCTTAAAAGCATATGCTATGAATGGGCAGATCAACGTTATTGCAAATTTTTCGGCTGAGTTATTCATATCTAAAGAAAGGCCAGTAACGATTGAGAAGTTCTATGTTGTGGATGAAGTACGGGCACTCTTGGGATTCAACACAGCAATACGGTACTGCGTTCTTGACATTGGATTAAATGTGCCTGTACGTCAGCATCAATTATTGCTTTATGATGCGAATATGACTTGTCGCGACGTACACACAGTATCGACTCCCAAAGAGTTTCCGAAGTTCAATATTCCGCCGGTTTCGTTGAAGTACAACACAGACATGCCTCCATCACGGAATGTGTACACCCATATTCCAGCGGCATACAAAGAACTTACTAAGCAGAAACTTAATGATTTATTATCAAACGGTATTATCGAACAAGTGACTTTGGATATGGATCGTTCCTTTTGCTCATCACTGTTAGTAGTACCAAAAGGGAAGGATGATATTCGTCTTGTCATCGACTTACGAGGACCCAACCGCAGTATCTACCGCACACCATTCAAGATGCCCACATTTGAGTCAATATTAATGGAGCTCCATGGTGCTCAGTGGTTCTCTACCATAGATTTGACAAATGCATTCTTTCATGTAGTGCTGGATGAAGACTCACGTCACCTCACGAATTTTTTTGCGGGAGATGGACTCTATCGATACCGTAGGCTTCCTTTCGGCCTTTCAAATGCCCCTGATATATTTCAGGAGGCTCTTCAAACTGTGGTTCTTTCTGGATGCAAAGGAACGGTTAACTATTTGGACGATATACTGATTTTTGGCACTACAAAGGAAGAACACGATGAAAATTTGGCCAAGGTTATGGAATGTTTAAAGAATCACAACGTCAAAATCAATGAGGAAAAATGTGCTATAAGAAAACGTTCAGTCAAATTTCTGGGATTTGTCGTTTCTACTGAAGGATGGAAAATCGAAGACGAAAAGATTTCAACCATAAAGAACTTTAGAAATCCTGAATCACTGCCAGAGGTGAAAAGTTTTTTGGGATTGGTAAACTTTGTTGAAAAATTTATCCCACAACGAGCAGACAAAACATGCAAACTTCGCGCATTGGCAAGAGCTGACAAGTTTTACTGGAATCAGGATTTGGAGGACGAGTTTCAGTATATGAAACATTCAGCATGGAAGACAATTACCACGCTAGGATACTTTAATAGAGAAGACCAAACGGAATTATTTGTGGATGCCTCGCCCTATGGTCTAGGAGCTGTATTGGTCCAATTTGACAAAGAGCTAAAGCCAAGGGTGATCGCTTGTGCTTCCAAGACACTAACGGCTACAGAACAAAAATATCCACAAACACAAAAAGAAGCATTGGCAATGGTTTGGGGAGTTGAAAGATTCTCCATGTATCTCATGAGTTTATGCTTCAAAATAAGGACAGATGCAGAATCAAATGAATTCATTTTTGGCGGTCTACACAGAATCGGAAAAAGAGCAGTAACTCGAGCTGAATCATGGGCTTTAAGACTTCAGCCATATCACTTCAGTGTCAGCAGGGTACCAGGAGAATCGAATGTTGCAGATGCTTTATCCAGATTGGTTGAAAAGACCAAGCCAGCGGAACCGTTTGATGATGAAGGCAATGACAAACAATGTTTGCTTGCATTCCGTTCATCTGACACCACGATGTTAACCGCTCGATATCAGTTTGTAGAGCACAACAATCTAGGATCGATTTGATTACACGGTAGACTTTCAAATCATCAGCATACAACAATTTACAGGACCTTAAGTGGTCACACACGTTGTTAATAAATAAACCGAAATAAGAGGTTATAAGTGGCTCCCTTGTGGAACTCCCGATGGTATATCAAACACATCGGATTTGGCATCATGAACCTTAACGAAGGCCTTTCTGGAGGATACATATGATTTTAATCAGCGAACGACCTACGGCGTAAAACCGATGGCATTGCGATAGCGAGGTCATGAGGGGCTTTGTCGAAAGCATTAGAAGACGTCTACGGGTGAAATGACTTTGCATTTGGCAGTGTTTGCTTGCATTCCGTACATCTGACACCACGATGTTAACCGACACTTTTCTATGCTACCAATAGTGTTGGTGTAGGACATCAAGTTGGAGATCGTCGAGTGCTTTTTCATGAATCCATGCTGGAGCTTCGCGACTATAGATTGCACCACTTTGTCATGCAGAAGACTCTCGAGAATTTTGGCGAGATAGGTCGGTAGTTTTCCACGCTGTGAATATTACCTGAAGATCGGTGTAATTGATGCAAGCTTCCAGGAATCCCGAAAAACGCCATCCAGAAGTGAACGATTGTAGATAGACATAACGGGTGTGGCCAACGCTGCTGCACAATTGTTGAAGAAAGACGCGCAAAGGGCGTTGAAAATAGCGTCATGGCTGAAGTAAAGCTGCAGCAGACAAATGTTGTAGTTCGGTAACTGGTCTACTGTACGTTATAAGATTACATTTTTTAACATTTAGTTCCAACAAACTTTTACAACATCACGGATAAAAAAATGAACTTCATTCTGAAACGTATTCATCGCATCATCATTTCTTATGTCTAAAAATTGTTTCATGTCATCAGCATAAATAAGCATTCTAAGATTTTTCAAAATAAGAGAGATATCGTTGACGTACAAAATAAGAAGAAGAAGTCCCAATTGCGAGCCCTTGGGAACTCCTGACCTAACTTGAAATGGATTAGGTTTTTTCTCGCTGAATCTTACAATTTGCCGACGGTCCGTTAAATATGACTTAATCCAGGTTAGGAGTTTCATCTCAATTCTCATTTTTTCTAATTTAAAAATCGACATTGGAATGTCAAGTCTATCTAAAGATTTACTGAAGTCAGTGTAAAGAGCTTCAATTTGGTTTCCTTTGTACATTTCAGTTAATGAGTAATCAACAAATTCCAGGTGGTTTGTTGTGGTTGAACGACCTTTAAAAAAGCCGTGTTGTGCATTTGTTATTCTATATTTTATTTGGCTGAAGATATTTTTTAACGTAGGACTACGTCTGTGATTTCTACATGGGGTTACACTTTGTGAAAACATAAAATGGAACAAGTAACAAAATTATGAAAGATTTTGAACGCTAATAACTCAGCTGCCCTTGGACCAATTTCAATAATTTTATCACCATTCGATCAGAAATATTTCTACGCATTGCCTGCGAAAAGCGATTTCCCTTACATAGATTTCGAAGTTGAATTCCATCCGGTCTCACCAAACGGTGTTGATTCAGTGGGCCATTTATGCCAAACGCGTCATACTGAAGAGTATAAACAGAGCGGGGTTATTAAATTTCTATTCCTACACAAAACACAAGCTCCTGCTGCAGTCAACAAATAAGATTTATTATATAAGACCACGTAGTCCTACGTCACCATTACGTACAACCCCATAGGGCTGTCCTGGTAGTTTTTCCATTCCTGCGGGAATGTACCCGAGACAAGTGACATATTGAACAGTCAGTATAAAAGGGTTGTGACTTCCATTCCTAATTTTTGCATAAAATCTGGTGAGATTCCGTTAGGTCCTGTCCTTTAGCGGCGTCCAAATCTCTTGAGACTTGTCAAATTAGCTTGAACATAAATGTTACTAACATTACTTGAAAAATCAGGAAGGTATGAAAAACAAAATCTTAATCACGATCATTATCCAAGAAATTGGAATACGTCTCTTGAAAAAATATTTGAATTATTGCCTACTTTTACACAACCAAACTTAAACAATATTTTCACGCGTAGTTACCATTTATTATAAAAAAAATTATTGATATGCTAATATATAAATATACATATATATATATATATAGTACTAAGCCAAAGATGGATGAATTTAAATGAACTAGTGTTAAAGATAATCAATGTAACAAAAATGGTTGACGACAAATACATAAATAGATTAGTTTAACTCATTGTGAGACTTGATACATTTTTTGTTATTCCACAAACAGTGGCACCAGCTCGTGCTCCGGTGGTGTACCAATCTCAGCCAGCTCCTGCTCCGATGGTGTACCAATCTAAGCCAGCTCCTGCTCCGGTGGTGTACCAATCTCAGCCAGCTCCTGCTCCGGTGGTGTACCAATCTCAGCCAGCTCCTGCTCCGGTGGTGTACCAATCTCAGCCAGCTCCTGCTCCGGTGGTATACCAATCTCAGCCAGCTCCTGCTCCGGTGGTGTACCAATCTCAGCCAGCTCCTGCTCCGGTGGTATACCAATCTCCGCCCACACCACAACAGACGGTTTACCTGCAAGGAAACAGACCAGTTTATTCTTCCCCTCAGTACACAGGTCAAGCGCCAACTGCCTATGTCTATCCTGATGGATCGTACGCACAACCACCACCAATACAAATGGCAACACGATTCGGTATCCATCATGATCCCATACTTTAGTGTAACAAATGCTCATTCGATTATAATTTCCAGGCAACACCTATAGTCCTCCAAGCACATACTATTCCGGTTCTCCATCCAACTACTATTCTAGTCCCAATTCCCCGTCCAACTACTATTCCAGTTCCAATTCAGAATCTTTTTCATCCAGGCTCGCTAGTAGTTTAGGATTGGGTAGCTCTCGTCCATCCTACTCAGGCACTCAGGCACTGGGAGCACTGGGAACGCTTGGAGCACTCGGCACACTGGGTGCTGGAGCATTGTAAGACAGTATATAGCGGTGCAAGAATGATATAATCTAATTAATTTTATTCGCTCTAGATTGTTTGGATGACCTACATGTTGGATGTGACCACCGGAAGTAGCTAATCTAATACTCTTCTGTGGTTTTATTAACGCTTTAAAACATGTACATGCTCTTTTAAACATGGAACAGGAGAACGCGCATTCACCAATTATATTTATGTTAATTTATATTCACACTTAATCGGCACATGTAAGATTCTCTTATAGTCTTGCAAAAATGAGAAACTGAATTTGTAATTAATCTTATATGTTGTTTTTACCGCGAACCCGTAGAATTTTCCGTTAATTAAATACCTAATGTGTTCGTCGTCTATGACCTGTTGAAACATGCATACTAACAACATTAAAATAGCTAACATAACCGGATAAGCTGGGAAATGTATCGAATTTGGAGATTTCTCTATTCAATGCATACTGCACATCAATACATTTTACATTACTTATTAATATATTGTCACAATTAAATAGCCTTCAGTTTCACTGGTTAGTAACATTCACATACACGTCTATCGGAGCCTGTTAATTATTCATCCGAAAAATCTGCAATGATTTGATAATAGGTCGCATTGATTAGTCACTGACTGCTAACAAAATTCAAATATAAACTCACGGCAACAAGCCACCGCCTCCTCCATACGAATTTGCTGACGCTTGTGCACTGGAAGCTGATCCTCCATAGCCGCCATAGTCTCCATAGCCACCATAACCTCCTCCATACGATTCAGATTCGGCAGCGGCACTAGCAGATGCACCGGCCCCTCCAAAGCCACCACCGCCAAACGAATTCGCATTGGCTGCTGATTTACTGAACGAACCGGTAATACCACCGGGTCCTATGCTGAACGAGGCCGATTGTGCCTGAGCGTTGCTGCCTCCAAATGCTACAGTTTGGAAAGTACAATGATTTAATCATCAGTTGGGCGAAATATGTTACATAACAATCCTTTACGTTTCATAAAACCAAGCGTGCAACCTCTTGTATAAAAACATTGTCTGATATGTGCCACTCAGTTGTGACGGTCAAAAGTTCACCTTGATCGCGATTAAAAGTGTTGTATCTTACCTGCTCCTCTTCCCAATCCGAATGGTGCGATTGGTGCTACCGGTGCCACTCCAATCGGCACTACGTGAGCTACTGGCACTGGTACGATTGGTGCTACTGCAATTGGAACTGCCACCGGAAAGAATCCTAGAAGGAAACATTTTCGAAATTACGGTTAGTTGGTGTTTAAAAAGTAAAGGCTGATGCCAAATAGCGCAAGGTTATGAACTAGTTTGCTAGACACGGTTCCGCTCGAAACGGTTTCTATTTGTAAGATACCGGTTATCTAAGAAATGTATCAAACTTTCATGTGCACTGAATTAACTCAATTCGCTGGAGTTTTTTCGGTGCTCGACTGGAGCTTAAATAGAAAATTCTCAAAATGTTACCTCCAGAGATTGCCTATTCACGTTGCGAATTGAGATACCATTATGCTTTATGTGAATGAGAGGGATATCAACTAGCCTAGTGTTTATAGATTTAAAGATTTTGTTTATATCATATACCAATCCAAAACCGTTCAGTGAATTTCTAAAACTTGTGATTTCATGGTTTTATTTGCTAATCTGGTTAATCTTGGTTTAAACTTAATTAGGGCAAATGGCGGCTTCGGTAATTGCTTTAACTATAATTGTCAGGAGGTTAAGTTTTAAAGTGTTTTTAAATTTTTCTGCAGAACGATGCTCTGCAATGTGATGCACCATCATGCAAAAAATCGGCGTCCTAAGACTTCGTTTACCCTCTGACGATAATAGGTAAAAAGAAGTGCCGAAGCCATACTCTCCCTTATCTAAAAGATAAATCGTCCAGCTCAAATTGTTGTAGGGGTAAGAGGTAGGACCATCATGGTTATTACTTTTTTCAAACGATGTAGCACTTTTTATCGCAGCCAAAGCTTACAAAATTATCGCATTATTATTATTATTATTTACTTAGCTTTGGATAAGTAAAGGTAATTGTAATGAGTGCTTAAGAAATTATGAGGAAATTTGCTTTAATATTTAGACGTTTGGTATCTTTGGTGAAGTTTTTGTGCTTTAAAAGTCCCCTTTTGTTGTTGGTAGTAAATATTAGGGTGAATCTCAAATTAATTGATATTTTAAAACTAACTTTCTTATTTTTGAAAACAAAGTTGTAGCTGAGTTCATTTTCAGTAAAAATAAATGCAAAATACTTTGTAAATAACAAAAAACTGATATGTGGATACGAAAAGAATACCTGTGTGTTTTTTTTTTTTTTTTGTATTGCATTATCATAATTTAGTATTGAAATGGTATTGTGGGATCATTTTTTTGGTATTATATTTTGGTATTTTACATCTTATGTCAGCCTCATGCATATCAATTCGAGGTATCGAGATATTCGTTCCTGCTCGGGAAGTGTATCCCCGTCCTTCACCTAACTGGAGATATCAACAATTGAAAATTACTTTATTTTTGGAGAAAGTTGGTCGTAACTTTTTTATTAAAGGATTAAACGAGGCACTTCGGTAAGCAACAATATGGTTATTGATGTGTTAAATAAGTTGTAGAAGGTACTTTTTGCGCATAAATTTAAATAAGAGAGTTATTTTATTGAAGCGATTTTTTTAGGGACGCACTATCGTCAATCATAAAAACTAAAAAATAATAATAATAACAATGTCTTCCGCAATGTTTTTATTTTAATTTTAATTGTAGATGGTTCCATCAAGATGTAACCAAAAATGAAAAAGTTATATTTTTAATAGTGTCATTTTAAGCACCATCGTATTTGATACTTTCATCATCATGTTAGCCATATTTTAAGCAACTTCACTATAAGACTTCACACAAGATACTATGCTGGTTAAGTTGCAATTTCCGGATCAACATTTCTTTCCTCTTTACTTGCATTCCAGGACCACTGTGCATTGATCTATCAATATTGAAAACATTTAATTGATATTTTTTTAATAATTCTATTCAGTGACACTTAGTTTAATAAAAATACCACTTTCAAGTTAATGACAACAAGCGTTGCAACCCTCTCAGTCCGCTTTGAGAAGCGTCCGAGAACGGTTGTGTGTTTTTGCTCCACTGCGTGCCTTTTTTTTTCTTTTAGAGCTCGGGCTATCTATGTGCTGCCGTGTAGTTTTTCGGTGCTCGCATTTGAATAGTTTTGTGTCCCGGACGCGATAATTCGATTTAGAATGATTTGTGCTGATGTTTTCCCCCTGTTGCTTAGGTGCCTGGTGTGTTCTCGCTCCCTTTGTTGAGAGTGTGACTCGACCGCGCTGATCTATTATCAGGTTTTGCGGTGTCCATTGCTTTTGTGCACAGAGTGACATGAAGATGAAAAGTGATATTTAGTTATTGTGTGGTTGGATTCGCTGGATTGTTTAAAAATGACTAGAGAAAATTAAGCATCGGGTATGCGCTCCCGGATATATTGATTGTACGTTCCAGTTGAAGATTGTTCTCTCTTAACAACCCTTTTTTGAATACATTTAATTAATCAAACATTATTATATACTGGGTTTGAGGGGGGGGGGGGGGCAGCCTAATTGTTTCAAAGGATTTGTAGACTGGACAAGGGTTCGTGGATTTGCCAGTCCCTTGTCACGTGTTGATAGACGTACATCTTGTCGTTTGTCTTCCAAAGGTCTTCAATGAAGTTGATTCACCCTGCTGCAACAAACCATCAGGCAGAACTTTACAATCAGTGAAGTATCTGCAGTCATAGGTAATCCTTGCACTGATGGTGGGTTCTATTCACATCACATCACATCACAAGCATTGCAACCCTCTGACCCTCTGAACGCTGATATGGGATGTCATTGAACGTCAATTAAAGTAAATTGAAATTTATGCAGTAAAATCTATTTTGTTTTGTTTTGAGAAACTAGTCAAAGTAATAATTGGATTGGATGATGAAATGCTATCAATATTTCTCTTTATATCAATTACCAAAAATTTTCTAAGCAATAACAAAAAACGTAACCCATAAAGATCAATTTCAGGCCGGTTATCAATTTGGCCCCGGACTACGGTATCTTAAACTTATTCATTAGATTCATTGAAATACCTTCTACACATTTTGTTTGGTATGACCTTCCGTGTTTCCCGCTTTTTCGGGTACAAACTTCATTAGAATTGTGATTTATTGCTGGAAAATTATTTATTTGCTTTATAGCTGAATAGGCTATACAGTAGAAATTATCTGTATATTACTGGTTATGTAAGCATCCATGCGTGTAAATTTGTATTTTTTATCACGATAGCAAGAAATATTGCTCTCAAAGATGGACGAGTGCATACAATATTTGTAATATTTCATTAAATTTCTTATAACTTTAAATGACATATAATTTAATTATGTATGATATATCATGCTCCGTTTATATCGAATAGAAATTTACTCTACTTTAAATATGTATGCAGCGCAAAGAATTCATATGAAATCATTTGGAATGCATTTTCAACAGTTGAAAGTTAGAGACGAACCAGCCTAGGGCTGAAAGTCTCTTTAATAAAGAAGCAAACAAAAAATCTTCTGAATTTGGATCTTTTATTTATGTAACTGAGGCATTTTCAAATATTATGGATGTATGAAATATGCCCTCCGAATCTTATGGTGGTTTGCTAGAGCTAGGATTAAATTTTAATACCGGCCCTAATTGAAGGAACAATTGTTTTATGTTGTTGATTACCATCGACGTCGACATCAAAATAGACCGACATTCGAGTTCGCGATTTATTCCGAGGATAATACAGGCAACTAAACATAACTAAAATAACACTTTTAACTACCTCATAGCCAAATAATAATTAAAAGTATGTCTGCCAACCTCTGCCTTAAATAAAAAAAATCATCAGTTATCATAGTTCATCAGTTTCACGCATTCATTCAAAACGTATGGTAGGGGTAAAAGTCAAAAATGCAAAAAAACAACAAAATTAGTCAGACAGAAAATATTGAATCAATGCTTGAATGCTTGGTTATTTCACGCCTAGAACGCTATTGAGTTTAACACATTTGGGAACAAAAAAGGTGTACCATTTGAATTTAAACACATCTCAAAATCATTTTCAATCTAATTCATACTTGGAAAACCATATAATTGTTCACAAATAAGTAATTTAGAATTGTTTGCAAAATTGCAAATATTTTGCAAAATTATTTTTACACGTTTTCGAGTAGAATGCAATGAGAGTGTAAGATCTTGAAATCAAAACAATGTTTTTGTATTCACTTCGGATAAGCATAACTGTCACTTTGACAACTCTATCTGTCATACGCATGGCCCGCACTTATTTCATCCCCGCACTTTCAAAGTGCGGAGTCCAGTAAGGTGCAAAATGCGCAATATTTAAAATGAAAACTGATGTTGAAGAATCCCTTGGCAGCTAGCTGTCACTGCCTTTTTGACTTTGCTATTTTAAGTCACACCTACACATGCACGCAATATTTCAGTTCACCGCGAGAGTGATAGTTTGAAGAAACTATAGCTTGGTTTAGACAGGGCAAGTCAAATGATCAAGTCAGTTAAATTCAACTGACTTGAACGCGAATTGAACGTGTAAACCATGCCATTCAACTGACTTGATCAACTCACTTGAATTGAAAAAAGTTGAACCAGGCTCAACTTTTCAATCCAATTGAATTCAACTGAGTGGATCATTTGACTTGCGTAGTCTAAACCCAGCATAACCCAGTTTCGAACCTGGTTCACCAAACTAAAACGGCATATGTTCTGTCAATCTAGAATTTTAGCTACTACGCCCTCTTTTCTGATTTTTATCTCTCAATCTATGGAATCTACATGAAAACTATTTTGGAACGAAATTTTAAGTATAACAGTATAAGGAACATTATGCCGTAGATTACACATTTTTAAATCATATTGGTGGAAAGTTCGTAGAACAAATACTTTAAAATTCATCACTTTTTAAGACATCTTCGAGCATGAAACTAAGTCAAACGTCAATAAAATCACATTGAATTGACCACTTTGTCAAGCAGTTTTGGAGTGACTTTCTACCAGCGATTTCACAAAACTGGACCAACTTATTTGAACATTTATCTGGCAACGTGATCACACTACCTATGGTTGAGTGACTGTGACCGTAAAATTTGACTGACGACAGACAATATTTTAGCAGTCATTTTCTTTGACTGTGACAGAC